TTTTATTATGCATTACTTTTAGTTATTTTTAAGAACAGATTCTATGATATAATAAATGAAATATTATTACTATCCTAACTGCTGTTAAAAACCTGACTGTTACAGTGACATCAGATTCCAACTGACACAATTATACTTAAATATATATTCTCTAATTAAAAAAATTCCAAAGCCTCAGCCATGTAAAAAATACATAATGTTCTTGATTCCTTATATAAAGTTTGAAAGATAACTTCCAAGAATAAGTTTAGTGCTGTTCGTGTGATTATGACAGGGAGGAGAAATCCAGTAGATTCCACTTAACCTATAAGGAGGCAGACACTGATAATATTTTCCTTTTTTCTCTAGTGTAGAAAAGGGTACCCCTTAGATCGGCACCAAATATCGATGCTGGTACCAGTGTTCTGGTAACCTAGAATCGAGTCTGTTTCTTCAATGTTATGGCAACCATTTTTTTGTTATGCACCAATGTTTTTCTGAAGTTTAATCTGATTGAAACTTCTTAGTTTAGGACTATGTGGTTTATAGTGCGTGTATAATGCTCTACAAATCATGTATTTTGAATTATTGGAATGCTGCCATTAATTGACCACTGGTTGTCATTAGCTGGCTGTTTCTAATTAATCATTGTTCCATCATGCTTGCAAAAAAAGTATGTCAGGCAGGATATTTTTTTTAAAAAATGATTTAAAGCCAAAGGTTAAGGAAGCTATTATTTATTGGTGTATGAATGAAAGTTTAATTAGTTCTTGGCATGAATGCCCAGCTCGTACGAAAGATTACACTTGACCAGCTTGTCTGGTCAAGTGTAAGGATCAATTGGATGACTATAAGTGGGTCTGTTGTGAAAAAGGTGCAAATGCTCATCATTACAAGAGGTCTGTAAGGAAAGGTACATGTTTGAAGAAAGCAAGATTGATATTTTAATTTTTACTTATTTGTGGTTATATGAAGCTGGAACGAATTTGCTTATGAATGAGGTGAATATCCGTTCAAATAAAACTGTGGTTGACTGGAGGAATTTTTGTAGAGAAGAGAGTATGGATATATGTGTAAAAAAGAGTGAAACGATTGGCAGTCCAAATATAGTTGTGAAGAATGATGAGAGCAAGTTTGGCAAAAAGAAGTATAATAAGGTAGAAGGGTGAATGGAAAGTGGGTGTTCAATACTGAAAGAGGGAGCAGAAAATGCTTTTTTGTGGTTGTGGAAGATCAAATGAACACACTTTGTTGGAAGTGATTCCTCAAACAATTCTACTTGAAACCATGATAATCTCACAACTGCTGTTAGACTGTTGGAAAGCACATGATTGTCTTGGTAATCAATGCTTCCAGCATTTAGCTGTATATATCACTCCCTGACTTACAAGACCCAAAAACTGGTATGCATACCAACACCACTGAGGGTATGTGGAGCCATATTAAGCAGGAATTTCATAAATGAGCTCTTCGTCAGTCGTGAGATGATATTTTTAAGTCCTACTTTTAGGAATTTATGTCACTTTGCTGGTACTGTTATCAAGAAGAGAAAGATCTGTTCAGGGATTATAGTAATTGCATAAAGGAATTGTATGTACAGCAATCATCTGACACTGATGAGATATAGCAAAGAACAAACGAGGTGGGTACTTTTGTTATTTTTGCAACTTATGTTTTCCACATTATTTTGGGCAACAGCCATCTTGGGAACATTACTTCTTGATGCCATGCTTGGCATAAAAAGAAATTACCAAAAATATCAAAGGGCACCCAGTTGCAAACTTTCACCTTTTTTAATGAGTTTTAATAATTTAATCAAAATTTACTTTCACTATTGTTAAAAAAAAATTATTAAAATTTATCTTCTGTAAAGATAGCACTAGCTTAATATAACTCTTTTTTTTTTTTTTCATTTTAACTTCTTTAAATCAAACATACCCTTCTCATTTCTTATATTTTCATACATACACTAAGTGGTTATTTATGAGCAGATCTGTATACAAAGTTTTGGCAGATGTCTGCAAGTATTTTCTTACATTCTTTCTGAAACATGGCAATAGTTATTATATGCCAGTTTGGTCTGGTTCATATGTGACACTTTTAAATCCTTCCAGAGATGCTGGATTGAGTTGAAATCACAGCTTTGTATTGGTCAGTCAAATTTGTTCATTCATATTTCCTAAAACCACCCAATTCTTTTGCTTTTTGATTGGTAAACTGTTATTTTGAAAATGGTAAGTCCCAATTTCAGATTATAGCTACAGGGTAAGTAGCACAGAATTATACAAACCACCTCATTTTGGAATGTGGTAAATGTTTTGGTTTGCTAGATTTTGCTATATACATATTTAAACACAAAAAACAGCAGAGTAAGACCATATTAAGAATTTAAATTCACACAATAACTCTCTGTGAAATTTCAAAGTAGAAATTATGCACACATAAGTTATTTTCACTTGACATTTGTTAAGACATACATTTCCATCAGAATGCCACATTATGCATTACGATTCTTACTTAACTACAATTAAACTTTCAGTTTATTAACCATTGGCTTATATGCTGTAACTCATCTATGAAGTACAAGTATAAACAACTCTTGATGAATATTTGAATACATAATGTAAATATAGGCATCATTTGCAGATGCTAAATGAAAGTCCATGGCCATAGTTTCTAATAAAGCTTGCCAGTTTGAATTTTGTCATATTTTTTTTTAGATATTGATAGCTTCTGTCAATATTTAAGCATGTCTGGTTGGAACTAGAATTTATCACTCCCTCACATTTCCATTTCACTACTCACCCAGTGTTGTATAAGATGAAACTCACTGTGATATCTCAAAGTTACCAGAAATCATATGGATAAAATGATTGAAATTTATAATAAATTATAATTCCTTTAGTAAGGAATTATAAGCCAAATAAAATCAAAACATCTGCCCTGAAGATAAGGATAGTGCTGATAGATCAACTTCCAATTCATTGCGCGCCGCAGCGTCCACCCCTCCCACCGCAGAGCAGCGTGAAATTGATAAACAGATTTCGGATTCCGATAGTGCTCACAGATCAACTTCCAGTTCATTGCGCTCAGCGACATGAAGCAAATGTGTGAAACCGTTCCAGTTCGAGCGCGCAGCAAATGCGTGAACGCATTATGCATTGACGCATGTGCAGAAAGTTTGTAGTTTTGAGGTCCGGATTATAGATCATCCTGGATTATGGGTGTCTGGATTAACGAATTTTGACTGTATATGTTTTTAACTTAAAAATCTTGAATATTTAAGAATTTAGGTAATCAAATTTATTTACTTTAAAAATTGTATCAATATAAAATTTTAATAGACACAATTTAAGAATCTTGGATATATTTCGGCACTTACATATTAACTTATACCTATGCCGTTGTTGGATAACCTGTCATTAAGTATTTATTTGCCTTGCTGTTGCAACTGAATTAAACTCAAGCACCCTCAGCTAACTGGCTGTTAAATCTTCTGTTAGCTTTGGTTGTTACTTTCTTTAACCTTTTTCCCCATACACATACACTGTTACTTATGTATTAATGGAAAAAGGATTGGCTAACTTTGAAGGTAATTTCATATAATTGATTTTTCTTTATTTTACATGGAAAATATTTGATGATCATTTTTAAAATAGGAAGTTTTTTTACCCTGAGCTACAACTTTCTGGTACCACATGAACTCAACGAAGTATGACTTCAAATGGTGTCTTGCTGTACCCCTATGTTTCTTATTCTGACATTTTGAAGAACCCCATACCTATTCGATGAGCTCTGTGGATTCACAAAAATTGACTGGTACAATTATTTAAGAGAATTTACCACAAATTGGTAAACTGCTATTCTTAATTTAATTAATACTGGTACAATTATTTGTGGTTTATTTAGAAAAGTTCAAAACCAGTTTTTTAGAATTCTCCTGTCTTATAGGCGGCCCAGGAGTTGAATAAATGGTTGTTCCTCTCTTGACATTTTCTTTAATTTCATTTAACAAAGTTGTAGCTTTTTGGTTCAGTACTGAAATAAGAAAGGTTTCTTGAGTTTTGAGGCACATACTTCCAAAAATACATTGAACTGCAGAATGTGGCCTATGTTATTTCTTCTCTTCAAGATCAGGTTTTCATCAATTACTGTGACTAAGGCTTTATGCCTTTTTTTTTTTTTTTTTTTATCCAAATTTTCAGGTTCTGCATCTCGATGCATACCTATTTCTCTCAAATAATTGTTCCACTTTACAATAGTAATACCCCCGAGTTCTTCCATGCAAAATTTTATTGATGTCATTTCCTTAGAATAGCAGTAGGTGAATCTGATAGCAGAAACAAATGATAATCTACTTGCTATAAACCAGTAGTTGACTCATATTTCTACCAGTTTCATCTCTTTTGGATATCAGCATGCATTCTTCAGTTGACTCAAATAAAACTTGAGTAAAAATTGGAACACTGATGGTTACTCGACAATATACTTTTGTAAAAAAGAAATTGCATCACCTTTATATTTTAGTGTACCCCATAGACCCATGATTGAACTATAAACTCTTGGGGAGAGGAGAAACTCTGTTCTTAAAACTATAGCTTATAGCATTTTAAAAGCTTAGTGGCGTCATATGGTCACAAGAATAATTAATTTATGGTGTCAAATTGACAATTGTCACTTTTTTTTGGTTAAATGACTTTTTCTCCCATACTTATGGTACCGTTTTTACAATTACAGGCCTTTAAGATTTACCAAGCAACAAAATCAAAAATATTCAATTTTCCAAGATTACTGCATAGCACTGAATATTCACAAATGCAACATATCCATGCAATTACATTATGAAAAATGAAAAAAAAAATATTACAGAAGTGATAAATTCAGACAAACTATACGAAAGAAAGTAACTGGCTTGAAGAAAGTAGGTCAATTTATGTACAATTTTTTAACAGTTAATTTGCCATTCGCACAAGGATGTGAAGTACCATTTGCTTGTATAATAAGTAAAAAAAAGTACTTACAGGCTTAACGATATTTTTATCCCGATGTTTGGTTCTACCTGGAGGAGGCACCCAAGGAGCTTTTGTTGTTTTCTTTATAGACTTTTTAGACATATTCACAATAACTCTAAGTATAACCTAAAAGAAAAATATATAACAACACTATCTAGTCATATTCTGAAAGAACAATATATACTCATATTCTGAAAAATCAGAGCAAAGCTTTCTCAATTTCATATTTGTGTCAGACATATTTAATTTAGTCAATTATTATAATCTGTCATATTTCTGTGATACTAAACTCTATGCTGCCCAAATGGTATAGTGGTTAGGGAAGCTTACTGTGGTACCAAAGGGTCTGGGTTCGAATCCCAGAGAAAACATGGATGTTTGTAAATGGCATTCTAAATATATATTAACCAAAAAGTCCTCTCCTGTGGCTTGGTGGCAGAGAAGAGGGGTGGGAGACAATCAAACACCCCCCCACACACACACACACCGAGATGCTCAAAACTAGGGCAGAAATAGAAGTCGAACCTCCTTGAGGCTCTGGCAACCATTCTTCCATGAAATACATGGACAAAACAACAACTCAACTCTACACTAAAAACATTCATAATTTTAAAAGAGCAGAATTCCAAAGTGAAATTATACTAACTTTATTTTTAAGCATATCTGAGTTAAAGCATTCAATTCAAATCATCTGCACAGAGCACCTGAATTTATTGATGCAATACCTTATAACTATTATTTGGAAAAAGAAAATAAAAATTATATGATTAAAATTCCATAATCGGGGTGAGCGCCAAGCTTGGCAAGAGTTTTTTATTTGGTGTGATTTTAATTTGGTTGTGGTTTCCAGCTGTATGTTTTGTGGCAAACCTAGAGCTTTATTTCGGTAACTGTAAGGGCGCGAATTTAGTGTAGCCAGATTTTTTTTTCATTTAATTTTGAAATACTGTATTTGTTTTTAAAAGTTTTACTGTTTAATATTATTGTTATATATGTATATGTTTAATATTATATTTGTATAAATATTTACAGAAGATTAAGCTGTTGTTGGTGGGAGAATGTTGGATTTCATATGACATGAAGTAATTTTTTTTTTTTTTTTTTTTGTTTTGTTTTGTTTCTTGCATGTGGCAATTGAAAGATGTGGAATATTTAAAGCTTTGAACAAAAGTTGTTTAATGTGTTGAATTCCACGATGATAGTAACTTGAATATTTTAGTTAGTTTATGATGCTGAATACACATAATTTGCTATTCTGTTCACGTTTAAAACTGACTTCGCAGTGCTCTGATCTGATAAGTGTATACATTTTATTTACTTAACAATTATTTACAAGAATTGTTCATTCTACTATTTTATGATAAATTACATATATATAGGACTATGCTTTTACTTGCAAAGCTGTTGGACTTTGTTTTACTCATCTAGTATTTTATCATCTCATTTTACAGTTAATCTTTGGATTATGGTAACTTGGTGATTTTTTGGAGACCCATCCTGCTAGTTTTTGTTTGGACGCCATTTTGTTTTCACGAAGTAAAAGCTTTTTTTTTTTTTTTTTAACTCAACATTTTTTTCCAACAATCTGCTAGCCGAATTACGCTTATGCTAGAACTTTTATGGAACAAAAATGCTTAATCATGACAAAGATTAGGTGCGAAATCGGGAGAAAGTGCAGAATCGCAAACTGCTTGCCGCGTTTTTAAGAATTGCACATACACGTTATCCATGTACACGTCGACCTATTTTCACTTAAAAAAACATCCCCAGAATTGCACAAAAATGGCACTGAGCACACTCTTGACTTTATCCATGTACACTCCTAAAGTCCTAGCTAGTAACCTTTATCACCTTACCCAAAACGTCGCCAAACTACCTGTTACCATATTCCAAAAATTAGCCCATTTTACTATTCTGTTTACATAAAATAACGGTGTTTTACTACTACAAAACTTAAAAGTTACTATTCTGTGGACGTTTAAAAATCACATTTTAGTACTTTCATTGACGCCAAAAAAAATTCGCCAAATTTTGAAGGCCAAAATAGTTTGGCACTAACTTACCCTACTTATGGAATTTTAGCCAATTATGTAATTTTCAAAATAGGGTATGTAGATTAATTACTTGAATAAATAAATAAGGCGTACATGAAAGAATAAATGAGACATGTTTCTTAGAAGATTAAAACATTTTTACCCCATCAAAAGACATAGTCTGATGAATAATTCCTAAATTAAATTCCCCAATATTTAGCACTGATTCATGTTATTTCATATAATGAGGCGAAAGACCAAAAAACTCTCATCTCCCTCTTCTCACAGATATACACAAAAATACATTACAATATATTAAACGCAGAATTTTCTCGAATTAAGAATTTAAAGTTTAAAAGAAACACATAAAAAAGCAACACACATAATAATATATAGACGTTAATTATTTTAAGTTAATAAGAATTAAAAAATTTAAATTTAATATACTTGCGCAAAAAATCACACATACGCTATGACTTCAAAAACATTGTGCACTTAGGAATTTGGCCCATATAAAATGTTTAAGCATAATCTTTTAGTTAAAATTATAAAAATAAATACAAAAACTATCACAACTTTTTTGCCGGGATCTGTTAATTTGCCGTATTATTTACTAATTTTGTAAACAACTTTTAAAACGCGACCCAGTTTTGGAAAGTAAGAGTTGTAGTAGCTAACGAGATTTTACGAAACAGAAGACTTTTTTTTCTAAATGGCGACCGCTAGCCAACGAAAGAGAAATACAGAATTCGGAAATAGGCATTCCGAAGAAATAAGTACATTACGCAACATTTAAATTACTTGCAATTTCCCTGCTAATTTATAATTTATACGTTAATGATCTCCCTAATATCGAAAATATATTCACAGCTTGCTATGACGATGATACGGCACTCTTATATCACTCACTCAACTCTTACCATGCAAGAAATAAATTACAGAACTCTATTGATTACATCTCACCCTTGTTTAAAGGATGGAAAATCAAAATTAACCCAGAAAAATCTAAAATAATCTATTGCAAAGAAAGGCATCATCCCTCAAGATATAGAAGAAATTAAGATGAACGGACAAGTCGTGTTGCGAAAAACACAGAAAATGTATAAATCAAATATATTCAAAACAGTTCATTCAATTGCGGGGTGCCTCTACCCGAGGCTGGGTGTATTATGAATAGAGACAAACAAATTATTAATAAGCCATTCTTTATTTTCATCAAAACAGTCTTACTCTTCCGAAATCAGCTTTCGTTCTTCATACCTAGGCTTAACAAGTCTCAGATAGATTTGCACCAAGGAGGTTTTTGCACAAGTAAATCTTCGCATCCGAAGCGCTCTCTTAGTTGCTCGATGGCTTTGGGATAATTAGCTGCCGTTACCGGGAAGCTAAGAACTAGGCGTTCTGCCTTCGATTTGGGTTCCATGGCCTGCAATAGATACTGCATTTTATCTTCATCAGCGATACTTTTGTTGTCGTGGATTTTCTGGAACTGACTCCAAAAAGTCAGGTAATCTTTAGCTTCACCACTGAATTTTTCAAGCTCAATTTTAGGCAATTTAAATTTCCTCGATTGGGAGATACCTGGAAGAAAGGAGACTTGTATTTCCGTAGCTATTTGAGCACACTGTTATAGAAACTTATCTCGGTAATCCTCTGCTTCTTCAAAGTCATCACTAAATAATTTTTCTCCATCTTTAGTCTGCAAAATTTGCTACGAGATAGCACTCTGGTATACGTCAACTCTCTGGAATTTATCACAAAGTTGACACTTCAAAATCGAGTGTATTATTAAATCTCTTACTTCTTTATTTAATTCACTTTTGGTTTTCCTTGAGATTTGAGAAAATGCAATTCTAAAGCGATCAAATCCATCTTCACAGTGTATTCAAAATCAAAAGTTCAATCGGAAAATACTTGTTTGAGTAATACCAGCTCAACTCAACTCTCTTTAAGTTTCATGTTTTAAAAATAAGTTCTATCGTTTCTGTAAGAATAACTGCTTCTAAATGTTTTGGAAATATCTGCAATTAAAGTGTTTTTTCATATTAAATCCATAGTTATTTTTCGAATCCTTTAAAAATACTAATCCATAGCACCCGATCCCGCCGAGGGTACCACTATGTTGCGAAGAACACAGAAAATATATAAATCAAATATATTCAAAACAGTTCATTCAATTGCTGGCTGCCTCTACCCGAGGCTGGGTGCATTATGAATAAAGACAAAAAATTCTTAATAAGCCATTCTTTATTTTCATCAAAACAGTCTTACGCTTCCGAGATCAGCTTTCGTTCTGTCTACAAGCAAAACATTCGAAACACTCAGCACGGAGGCTGACGTCACGAACAGCAGAGCCTCACGCCAGTTATTAGTTTAGTTCATTTCACAATAAGTCGTGTCACATGACCGCCAAGTTAAATATTTATGTGTCTATCTAGACCAGAAACTTACCTTCAGTTATCATGTCAACTACATCAAAAATAAAGCAGAACGCACCCATTAATGAGCAAACACTCCAAATTAAATCTCAACATTAAAAGAACTCTCTATTTACAGGCCATCACTCACTAATACATCCAAAGTTTTTAAAGTAAAACACACTCAGATTTCTATCTAACTCACCATGGTTCGTTAGGAACACCGTTATCCACAACTCACTAAAGATTTTACCTTTAGGTGCTGAATTGTTAAGGATCACCTACAAATTCTGTGGAAAATATGATTCCTCCACCCGCGAAGTCATTAAAAACAAAGGGGAGTACGATTATCTTATTGAACTACCACATAAATGGCTCAGAACTATCCATCATAACGTTAGATGGTAGTTCATGTATATATTTTATTTTTTCACCTATTTAATCAAGATTTTATTTCATCCTTTATTTTATTTTATGGACTTTCTGCTTATAATGCAGACTTTTGACTTTAACTTTTGAATTGTGTATCACGTGACAATCTACTCCCTTATGAGTGCTACTCTATTAATACTTTCGCTTCAGACGAAATCTCAAAATCTCTGGGAGTTTTAAACATTATCTTATTCATTTACGGTGTGGCAATATTGTATGAAATTACGACAGTGTGTAAAAGATA